GATACCATGTATGATTTAGGGAAAGGAATTGTGAATATTTACTTACTTTCATTGCATAGAGTTAGGGGTATATATACATAGAAAAGAGATTTATATATGGAAACATAAATCACCCTATTAATACTAGGAAATCAACTAATAATTATATAAAAATATTTTATAATATATTTTGTGATATTCTAACAGAAGAAAAAGAGCAGATATAGTATCAAGACAAGATGACAAGAAGGTATCACCCAAGTGCAGAAGTAGGGGAATTTAGAATACCAAAATGTCAAAGGGATCTCCTCAGATGAGAATTAAGAATGCTACCTTAAACGAAAAGTACTAGATTCGGAACCATATATGTCTAGTCAAGAGTAAGGTTACATCTTAAAAAAATCCTATTAATCTCTTTCCATATAACCCACGAGGGAGGCAAAGGGATAATATAAATAACATTTTCCTTTTGTCATCACTCTAGGTACCTTGGTAAGGGCCAAACATCAAGTGATGAAGCCATCAATTTCCCACCTTAGCTCAGGAACTTAAGAGTAATTCATCAAAGATGAAAGGAGAAGAGTCACTCCAAAAAAAAGTGATGAGGAGTTTCAATTCCCTCTTGCACAAATAATACCCATCTCCCACAATCTTTCTTCTCTATTATATGATCTTTGGTAAGGATTTTTGACCTTGTTGCCACCTAGAAGAAATCAGTTCTCAAGTACGCATTCGGCTTCCAAATAATTTTCAAAAGGATAATGTCCTAAACAACAAAGGGGAGATGGGCAAGGTGCATGTTGAAAGATTTAATGAAATTGGATTTTTTTTCTTTCTCTATGGCACTTCTTCTATAATATTGATTTCTTAGAAAAGGAGCCACTCGTGGCTAGTTCTCAAATTGGCTCATTAGCCCCATTGAGTGGAACATTGCACTAGGAGAGAAATCGAAAAAGCCTAACGTATTCATCTTCTTCTTAATTGTTACGGGCCCTAACAAGGTCAATTTCTGATACCACTTGACTTAACAAGGCTTTAACAGGTTCATCCAATGTTGCCTCTTTCTTGTAGCCAAAGAAAACATGACATCAAAGAGATCATTTTAGGGTTCTACCATCACATGACTTGTCTGTTTGAAATTCACCTTTCTACACGAGGCAACCCACAACTAGAAGAAACGACAGAACTTATCCCATATTGTATTAATTCTCTTCCATAAATCCACCACATGTGGGTCTCTTGATTGTTTGTCCTTTAATCCCTATCATTTTGCCCATACTTGCCCTTGATTGCCCTTTGTGGAAGGCTTCCCTATCATGCATTAATTAAATGGAATCTGATGCAACCTTCCTAAAGAAGGTTGCATCAGAGTTTACCAAGCCACCAAATGGATTTTGGTTTGCTCTTTGGAGTCGACCACAAGAACTAAGGCTAGTCTTAGGTTTATTTTCGCTATAGCAAGAATTGGGACCAAATGCAAAAACGAGATGGGCAATTGAGGTAGTTGACATTTGATGAAAATGATATTGTCCCCCTTAAATGAAAGTTCCGTTTCCCCCTTCAAGATCTTTATCGAATTTAGACAACTCTTATCCCAACTTGAGTTGTTTTCATATTTAGCCTCCAGAGGTAACTTGAGATTACGCCACTAGACCCCAAAACACTAGCTAACACGTCAAAATCAAACCTTTTCCCTAGGGGCATCATCTCTAACTTTGCCAAATTGATCTTCGTAGTCCAACACAACTTGGAATTGAAAGAGAATGCAGCTAACGTATATAAGGACATCCTTGTCTTGCCTAGAAAAGAATAAAAGAGTCATCAACAAGAAGTAGACAAATCACCTCCACAACCTCCTATCTAACGCTCACAAGCAACCCATGAATCAATCTCAACTTCTTGGTTCTAGCAACCAACTTGTTTAGGACCTCCGTACCATTTATAAAGAGAAGATGGAGAGGGGATCCTCTTACTTAAGTCCTTCGGAGTCTTTAAAGAACTTTGCGTGGCAATTGTACAATGATCTCAAAAGGCAGAAAAATATGCATGGTTTAATTATAGCACTACATCACTGGATTGTGATTCTCTGGATGCCCCAATGAGAAGCTCTTTAAAGATGAGTGTTTCTTTGTTAAGACTTGTAACTTTCACTTGGATGATTCTGGTTAGATTTAAGATTGTTTCTTCAGAAGCAAGTATGGAAAACACCTGAGAATTGCTTTTCTCTTATGGTACAAAAAACAAAACTAAGAGATATTTATGTAATTATTATGTTCGTGTATCATTAAGGTACTTAACTATTTAGGAACTAGTAACTATTGATTTATTAGTGGTATGAAGTTAGTATTTCCTATCAATTAATTAGCTTATTTTTCTATTTTGCAGAATTCCTAGATAAGTTTTATTTTTCTACATAGTACAATTACGGATTAAGTACCTTGGGCTTCCTTTGGGAGCTAGATATAAAGATGTAAAAACTTGGAACCCGGTGATTGAGATGTTTGAGAAGAGACTTGCAAGGTGGAAGATAGATTTCTTATCTAAAGGTGGGAGGTTAACACTAATAAAAAGTATCCTTACCAACCTTCCTATTTATTTTTTATCCGCTGTGCCTATTCTCGTGAATGTGGCAAAGAAATTGGGGAATATTCAGTGCCATTTACTTTGGGGAGATAATGAGATTAATAGAAAATATCAGTTGGTGAAAAAAAATGAGAGTAATAGAAAATATCATCTGGTGAAATGGAAAGATGTAAAAAAGCTTGTGAATAAGGGGGGATTGGGGAGTAGATCTTGGTTGAGGTGAGTAGGGCATTGTAGGGGAAATGGTCGTGGAGGTACCTTATGGAGGAGAGGAGGCTTTGGAGTAGGGTTGTCGAGACTAGATGGGGGAATGAGATGGAGAGAAGGGATTACAGGGAGGTGGTGAGACCGTATGGGAGGGGCTTATGGAGGAGAATTGGAGCTGGGAGACAACATTTCTTAGAGTGTGTTAAATAGGAGATTGGTAGGGGAGATAGAATTCATTTTTGGGAGGATGTGTGGCTTGGGGAGAGGAGTCTCAAGGACCTATTTTCAAGAGTTTATGCCATTGCACAAAGGAAGAATGTGGTGGTGGAGGAGGTCTTTAGAGAGAGGGAAGGTAGGGGTGGATTGAATTTGTTCCTGACAAAGATATCTTAATGATTGGGAGATTGATGAGTTTGTGGCGCTTCTTCATCTTTTGTCTAGCATGCATTTGAATGATACACGTGGTAAGTTGGTTTGGAAGCTAAAGAACAATGGAATGTTCACGGTCAACTCCTATTATAACCACCTTGTCAAGGATACTGGAGAGAATGTTATCTTCCCGCTCAACACATATGGAAAACGAGCACTCCTCCAAAAATAGTTTTTTTTTTTTTTTTTTGCTTGGGAAGCGAGTCAGAATGTATTTTAACTATCGATATGCTGATGAAAAGGGGCAATATCATGGCTAATGCTTGCTATATGTGCATGGAGAATGCTGAATCCTGCAACCATTTGTGCCTATGTCCGGTGGCATATAATATTTGAACAATGGTCTATAGTCTTCTTGGCATTAACTGGATAATGGCGGGGACGGTTAGGGAGGAACTTGGGGCTTGAGGTGGGATATGTAAGAAATCAAAGCTTGTAAAGTTTATACCTCTTAACCATTTTTTGGGTTGTATAGAAAGAAAAGAACAATAGAGCATTTGATGGGTATGTGGGGGATTTGTACAAAATTAGAAATAGGTGGATACATACTTTTGGAGCTGTAATACTTGGTCATGATCTTTATGGATGGGATGATTTTAGGCAAGTTATTGATGTACTAACTGATCTGTAAATATTTTTATATGTGGGTGATACCCCCTTGGTATCATATACATAACATACACACTTTTTTACCTCAAAAAAAAGTTTTAAGAATTCCCTTATTAATTATATTTTGATACCTGTGAAAGAGTATAGTAGCTTAGATACTTGGTGGACTATTTTATGATAATTAAAAACTATTAAGTTATTGATTTAATTATTTAGGTTCGAGATCTCTTATTTTGGTTCTCAATAATTTTTCTCTAAATATTCTGCTCGGATTCTCTTTATCCCACATCACTAGTTATATGGGGATAATTTCTAGACCCATCTTTAAGCATTTAAGGAATAGTTGTAAGACATAAACTATCATAAATATCTAGGACAGTTGTTTCTATGTTTTTCCATGTTCTTCTGTTTGAACCCGTGTTAAAAAAAATTATGAAATAAGATCATCTATGTTTTATGCCTATTGCTTGTAGTATTTTGAAAAAGCTGTCTTGTTATTCTTTTGGGAAGTGAAAGCTGTGACATATATGGTGTTACAATATACTTTTCTAGTGTTCTAGATATTCAATTCCTTGGTTAATGATGAACTCTATTTTGTAATTGTATATGGGAGAGTAAGTGATAGACACTGAACTTCATAAATTACCTATTATTCACTTTCTAATGAGCTCGTTTGGGTGCAGTGTTTCTGTATTATGTAGTTGATATTTTTGAGTATTCTTCTTACAGTCTAAAGTCAAGAATGCTGGGGTTGCTGAAAGATTATTCTCTTTATGTTGTGAGGTGAGTCATTTTATACTCTTTTGAAGAAATAATTTTATACTCACCAACTGGGACAGTTTGTTAAACACTTCTATTCTAGCTTAGTGTGTGCATGATGCAGTTCGTATGTTTAAATTGTTCGGCAGCTAGAACTCTCTGTCCTCCCTCTCCCTCCTGTCTTCTTTCTCTATATGGTATTGTGGCAAAGGCAAAAAGGTAACGGTGTCCATTCTGCCCTTTTTCCCTGTTTGTTTGCTTGAGGGGGAGGAAAGACAAGTAAAACAAAAGAAGAACAATAAGATAAGTTTCTGTTGACCAATAATTACCACTGAAATATTATCCCACTTTTTGGCTTGTAGATTGTGACAGGCCTGAAGGGAAACCCACTTCAGCATTCAATACCTCCATTTCTATTTTCGACTTTCCTTTATCCAAATTTGTTGTTAGAGGTCATACAGTAACATAATTATTTTGTGTTATTAAATTTTTATTTATTTAAAAATATGTATTCAACTGAGTGGTTGTTTTATTGGGCAGGCACGAGAGATACATAAAGTAATTGATTAAGTTCGTGCTGATAATTGATAAAATTTTTCCCTTGTGGTATCTAGTTCAGTGGTTTTTACTTATAATATGAAGAGTTGGATTGTGTCTCCTTGTATGAGTAATAGCAAATGGTTTCTCCATAATAATTGTGAAGTAGTGGACTGTTTCTGCATGTATTCTGAAATGATTTAGAATTTTATTTAAATATTCGTTAGTTGCATTTAGGATAAGAAAATCTCATCCATTATTTTAACTTCTAATTTTGTAGGAAGTCTCACAAGTTTCAATTAAAGAGGGTAAGACACCAGATGATGCTTGTTACTTGCAGTTGAAGCTACCATCTATGTCCAGACTGCGAGAAAGTTTCTGGAATTTTTTGGAGAAATATGGGTTTTCGCTACGGTTATGGCTATACTCGAACTTTGCTTCCTTGTGAGTTCAGCTTCTATTTCCCTATGTTTGGGTGTTTCAAGTTTGATCGTGTCTTAGTTATGATATTTGATTGTTGTCATTAATTAAAAGTCTTAATTTTCTTTGGATTACTTCTTTTTTATCTTGAGTTTTTGCAAGGATAAAAACGTGGTACCAATTAAGTGCTATAAAAGAAGAAAATTTTCTTTTTTAATCTTTTATTGGGTGCATGTAGAATCCCTAAAAGTGTACGAATACCTTCTTGCACAAAATGTATCACCATTAAAAATAAAATTGAAATGGAGCCATTTGACTTAAAAACATTGCAAGGGGAGCTTCCACTCATCAAAAGTGCTTCTATTATTTTCATTCTACACTACTGAAAGCAAAGACAACTAGAATCAAAACAGTGGCTTTGTTTGCCCTCTAGAATCATTATTGCTTGACCATGCATGTATCTTGTTTTCTTCGTTGTATAGGCCATAGGTGTAAATGTATGGCCTTTTTAAATTTAGCCTTTGTGGTCTTGGTTCCCAAATCAGTGCATTGACGTTAAAGGTTTTGGGCCTCTTAGCCTTTTGGGTAGCGTTTACAAGCTTATGTGAAGGATCCTGCAAAGAGATAAGTAAGGTTATCGGCCAGGTGGTTGGGGAGAGAATATGTTTTTGTCCGAGGGAGACAGGTTCTGGAGGTAACTTTGATTTCTAGTATAGTTGTTGATTTTGCCCTTAAGTCTCGGGTATGGGGAAGTTAGGCAACAGAAGGAAGCCCCTTCAACTCCACCTGGTATTGAGCTTCCAAAGGCTTGAGAATATGTGCTGATGGTTCCTCATCCTCCAACCAGCAAGGCTCAACAAGAGCTTCCTTTTTCCCTTTCACCACACTCAAATCACCATCCTAGTGAGCGCCTAGTGGGACCCTCCACCATCTGTTGGCTTTGGTATCTTCAGGGATCAGTAGCCTTTCTTGTTCCTCCTTGGTTCTCTTCTTTAGCTCTAGACAATTGCTGCCTTTGTTTCTGTCTTACTAGGTTGACACCTTGTAGTCATCACCTGTAAGAAGATGGGTCTAGGAATTGTCTTTGGACTCAAAAAATTCATGTAGTGCTCCGAACAGCCACCTAATCTTGAGGCCAAAAAGTTAAAAGGAGTAGGTAAGCCTAATCCCATTCTTTGTAATCCTTAGAATATCTTGGACCTCTACCTTCTAAGAAAATGTCAAAAAGATTCTTTTTATGCAACAAAGGACATTTATATGATTTAATTGCAAGACAAAAGCTAGTTATTTTGAAAGTTTAACTTATCCAAAACCTAGCAACGGCCTGATTGCAATCTATTAACTACCATTCTTCTCTTATTTATTTACTTATTTTGAAAGAAAAGAAGCTTTATTAGAACTAGAGAGAAAAAGAAATGCGAATAACAAGACTCTTCTTCTCTTATTCTTAACCTATTACTTATTTCTAGGTTGTTTCAATAGAAAAAAAAACTTATTCCTACCTTAACCCAATCTGTTAACTGCCCTTTTTCTCTTATTCTTGACCTATGAATTATTTCTGACTTTAACTATTATTAATTATTTTACATAATTAAGATACTTATTATTAATTAAGTTACATAATGACGATACTTTGTCTGTTGGACTCCTCTTCATTTGTCCAGAGCATGCAAGTAAATGAGTGAAAGTAGTTACTAGTGGTTCTGTTTTTGGCTTTGAAACCCTTGGGCGACAGATTTTAGAATAAAGATCTCATATTTTAAGTCATTTTGGTTTTACAAAAAGCTCAAAGTTTTGCTCTCATTCCATTGAATCTAGTATTTGTTTGTTTATATGCATTTTCAAATCTGAAATTTCTTATTGATGCTTTTTCTTTCCTCGGATGTTGGAGTGGGGATTACCTGCTGCGTATATTAGGTGATGAAAATGATCAGAAGTATTCCAGAAGATACGAGAAGAAAGCTTGCAGGAAAAGGGTATTTCCCTCAAGACGGATATATCTTGCAGGTTTTACCTGTTCCTCCGAACTGTTTATCTGTGCCCGACATCTCTGATGGTGTTAGCACTATGTCTTCGGTAAGCTGGTCTAGTTGATAAATTGACATTATTGTACTGTAACACAATTTAATATTTATTATTATTAAGGATTTGTATTTACTTCATGTTTTCAGGACCCTTCAACACCATTGCTAAAGAAAGTTCTTGAAAAAGTAGAAAACATAAAAAGTTCTAGATGCGGGGAACCTAATTTTGAATCTCATTCAGTGGAAGCAAACGAGTTGCAGTCAGCAGTTAATAAATATCTTCAGGCTAGGGGGACTGCTAAAGCATCTCGAGAAGACACAAGATATGGGGTCAGCAAAAATTCTAACGATTGTTCAACAAAAGCATGGCTTGAGAAAATGAGAACATTGTTTATTAGAAAGGGTTCAGGATTCTCTTCCCGAAGTGTGATTACTGGGGATCCTTATAAGAAGGTTAATGAAATTGGTATCCCGTTTGAAATTGCTCAGCGGATCACATTTGAAGAGAGGGTTAACTTGCATAACATGAAATATCTACAAGAGCTTGTGGATAAAAAGCTCTGCTTAACCTATAGAGATGGTGGTTCCACATATTCACTAAGGGAGGGTTCCAAGGGACATACTTTTCTAAGACCTGGCCAAGTGGTACATCGGCGAATCATGGACGGTGACACCGTTTTCATCAACAGACCACCAACCACACACAAGCATTCATTACAAGCTCTTTCTGTGTACATTCATGATGACCACACAGTGAAGATAAACCCACTAATTTGTGGGCCATTAAGTGCTGACTTTGATGGTGATTGTGTTCATCTGTTCTATCCCCAGTCTCCTGCAGCAAGAGCTGAAGTTTTAGAGCTTTTCTCTGTGGAGAAACAATTGCTTAGCTCTCACAGTGGCAACCTAAATTTGCAGCTAGCTGCTGATTCATTGTTGTCTCTTAAAGTGATGTTTGAGAAGTTCTTTCTGGGGAAAACAGCTGCTCAGCAGTTAGCCATGTTTGGTTCTCTTTCTTTGTTGTGGCCTGCATTATTCAAGTCTCACTCTTCAGGCTCCTTTTGGACTGCCTCGCAGATAATACAGACAGCTTTGCCTGCTTGTTTTGACTGTAATGAGGACAGGTACTTAATCAGGAAAAGTGAAATATTGAATATTGATTTTAATAAGGATAGTGTCCAGTCAGTAGTTGGTGAAGTAGTGAACTCTATTTTCTATGAGAAGGGTCCCAAGGAAGTTCTTGAATTCTTTGCTTCCCTGCAGCCTTTGCTGATGGAAAATCTATTTGTTGAAGGCTTTAGTGTTGGACTAAAAGATTTCTCCATGCCCAAGTCAGACATGCAAGCTATTCAAAAGTTAATTCACGATACTTCTCTTTTTCTTTCTTGCTTAGGATCAACTTACAATGAGGAGTTGCAGTTGGAAAATCGCATACGATGTTTGAAAGAAACTGCTGAAAACTTTATAATAAAGTCATCATTGCGTAATTTAATTGACTTCAGGAGTGATTCAGCTGTGAATAAGGTTGTCCAACAAATTGGGTTCTTAGGCCTGCAACTTTCAGATAAAGGAAAATTCTACTCCAAGAATCTGGTGGAGGATGTGGCCTTTCTCTTTCGGAGCAAACATCCTGGAGCAGGTCATTACCCTTCTGCAAATTTTGGACTAATCAAGAGCTGTTTCATACATGGTTTAGACCCTTATGAAGAGATGGCTCATTCAATCTCCACTCGAGAGGTTATAGTTCGTTCATCGAGAGGATTGACTGAACCTGGGACCTTATTCAAGAATATGATGGCAGTTCTCCGGGATATTATTGTTTGTTATGATGGAACCGTGAGAAACATATGTAGCAATTCAGTCATCCAATTTAAATACGGCTTGAAGGCTGACAATGAGCCACTGAGATTATTCCCTGCGGGTGAACCTGTTGGTGTATTAGCAGCAACTGCCATGTCAAATCCGGCATATAAGGCAGTTCTTGATTCTACCCCGAGCAGCAACTCTTCCTGGGAATTGATGAAGGTAATGATTTCATTTCTACTGAATATCAGATTGTTTCATGCGTAAAGCTTAAGTTTCTCCTTTTTCCAATCATGCTATATACAGTTGCTTATAATTATTCTGATCTCTTTTAGGAAATACTACTGTCCAAAATCAGTTTCAAGAATGATCTCAATGATCGACGTGTAATTTTGTATTTAAATGACTGTAATTGCGCAAGGAGGCATTGCCAAGAAAAAGCTGCATGCTTAGTCAGGAATCAACTGAATAAAGTCACTCTTAAAGATGCTGCAGTGCAGTTCTTGGTTGAGTAAGTTCGGTTTTCTATTTATATTTCCATACAATATGCAGACATGAGCTATTCATGGTTGTGGAAAATAGTTAATGCATTTTTTTGATCTGTATGCTTCTTGGTCAGAACCTCTATGGGTCCCAATGGTTTGGACTTGAGTAGGTTAAAAGACATAACCTTGGCAAGTGCATCATGCTGCAGAATATATATATGATTCATGCCCCTTTGGTTCTTTAAATTCTGTGGCTGGCATAGTTATGAAGGTCAATGCTATCAGTTAGTCCAACTTTGCATGAAGGACACATATGGATATACTAGTATGTGGTTTGTATGCATGATTTTGACGCTCTGTATGATCATGTTTATACAACATATTTTGTCCTAAGAAAATTTCTGACCTTGTCTACATTCTGTAGTTGGTTGGGCTCAAAATGCTGCAGAACCTCTTATCTTCATTACATAGGGGCACAAACAGATTAGGGAATTTTTGGTGTTCCTTCAGTTTTCTCCTTTTTTATTTGTTATGCATATGGAATTGTCCGTAGCTGTAGCATCTGTTTGTTGATTCTGATAGTTTGGTTTCTTCATTAATGGTGGGATATTTTCTAAGGGAGATTCAAACTTTAAGAGCTGCATTTCTGCATGCAGGTATAAAAATCATCGAACTGTATCAGAAGGTCTTGAAATTGATGCAGGCCTTGCTGGTCACGTGCATCTTAACAAGGTTATCACATCTCTGCAGTACCATTGTAACTTTCGTAATATATGTAGTTGTGGCATTGGGATGCAGAAATAAAGAGCTAAATAAAAAAATAATTTAAATGAAAATAAGGTCTATGGTTAATTTGATAATTAGTATAATTATCACCGGCTTTCCAGATTTAGTCAGAGTCTTTTTATCTTTGCTGGCAGTTTTGTTTTAGGCTCTAAGTTTATTTTGGATCTGGGTTTATTATAATTTTCTAGTGAAGAGTGTCTTTAGAGTTACTATTAGTTTCTTAGTTATAACAGGATAATCTGATTAAAAGGAGGGAGATCATTGTGAATCGATGCTATCAATGTAAGAGAGCTGCAGATGCTATCAAGCATGTCCTCCTATATTGTCCTTTGGCCCTTGGATAGTCTATTGGGGTCGAAGTGGGTCATGGCTGGCTCGGTCAAAGAGGAGATATGCACATGGAGAGGAATCCAAAGGGATAAACATTAAAATAAGCACTTGGACTTTATTCCTTTTAGTCAAATAAACATAAAGAAGTAGGAGAGTTTTTGAGGGTATAGAATTGACTTTTGATATAATTAAAGATATTTGGTTCCAAACACTAGGTTTTTTGATTAAGGGTCATCCCTTTTATATTTGTGAGAACTTAGAGGACTTGATTGATATTTGTCAGATATGTAAATGATTTCGTTTATGAGTTGTGTGCCTTTAGTACTGGTTAATACTACACTTTTTCTTTAAAGAAAAGAAAATGTTGGTATCCACTTTTGTCTTTTTCTTTTTTGAAGGAAGTATTAAGATACGATATATATATCTATTTCAAAAAAAATGTATATCTTCTATTTGTAAATAAACACATCAGGGTAATACATAAATCAGACTGAAGAGACCCTCTTGTTTCTGGGTAAACTGGAATCTCTAATCTAGCTACTTCGATTTTTTATCCTAAAGTCTATTCCCAAAATTCTGCATTTTCTCTCAACAACAATTTGGTATCAAAGCCGAAGGAGGGCCAGTAATTGCTATGGCAGTTAGGAGACAGTTCCTAGGATGAACTAAGCACAAGAGAGTGGCTCGGTTAGGAATAGAGATCATCTGGATGTCTGAATGGAGATTCCTGAAATTGTGGTTCCTTGAACCTACCGAAAGGGGATGTTAGGGATGAAAATGGTTTTGGTCAAAGTTATGGAGATCGGAGCCTACCAGCAATCTCCTGGCAATAAGATGGATTCTATTAATGCAACTTCTTAAGAGTCAAGGAAAACATGAGATCTCTCAAGCAATTTATGAAATTCCCTAAGAAGTGAGGCCAACTTCTGTGGTAGAAGTTACAAGATTTGATTGAGAATGGGAAGTTTCAGAGCAAGAGAAGAAAAGCAAAAGAGTTAACACAAAGAACCAACTTTACTAAAATGTTTTGGCTGTTTTTCATACATAGGTTTTTAGATGGTCAAGTAGGAAATGTTTGTATTTACAACTTAGTGATTTTTTGATCTTTAAGAAAGGTAGAGCAAACACAGGATGGGAGGATTTTTTGGTATTTGAATGGATAATGGGAAAGGAGAGCTAAATTGGAGGACGAATGTCTCCAGGAGAATAATGCTGGGGCAAAGAGCTCTAATTTGTTAAATTACGGTCAGAGCTCATTTAGTCATTAGTGTAACTGTTACGTGATTTTCAAAATTGGTTAGAAGTCCTTTTTACTTTATCTGCAGTTTATTTTAAGTTCATTTTTTTATTAAGATTTGTTTTACTTTTCTAATTAGGAGAATTTTAAAATTACCTAGTCCTTTCCTAGATATACTAGGAGTAGCATTAGTATACACTATAAATATCTTGTACTTGTAGATAAACATATCATATTAACATTCAACAGACTCAAGAGACGCTCTCTCTAATTTTTGGGTAAAGCCTAGATTTTTTAATCCAGCTGCTTGGACTCTTTTGGGTCCTAAATTCTGTCCCCAAATTACCCCTTTTCTCATTACATCACATTGTTTCCTTACATATATCTTGCTTTCGTTTCTAACTGACTGTTTGTTGGACAGACTTTATTGCAGGTCTTGAATATTGACATGCAAGAGATTCTCCAGCAATGTCGAGAGAGAATTAGTTTATTTCGAAAGAAGAAAAAAGTGGGGCATTGTTTTAAGAAAATAATACTGTCAGTCAGGTTAGTGTTTTTCAACTACTTTTTTTTGAAATAAGTGTTATCAACTACTTCTTTTGTGATATAGAAGTATATTTTGTACGAGCATTTATTTTTTAAATTTTTTTTTATTCGAGTATTATCATCAATAGCTTCTTTTTCCAGAAGTTACCATTTAGATGAAATGCCAACTAGGCTTGAAAGGATTGAAATTCACATATCTTCTTTTCCCAATCCCACCAACAATGTCATAAAGGAGCCAATATTATTTAATGATTGAATATTACGATACAAAATTAATGCCAAAGTGATGTAGTATACAAAGTTGCTTAAAGTTTATTGTGCCATACACATAGAGGGAAGCTAATGAAATATATCAATAAAGTAGTGGATAATGCTTTCTTTGAATAAACTTGATATAGCACAAAAAGATATGATGAAGAGAATATAAAAATTTTAATCCACAATCACAGGAACTAGAGATCTGCAATCATAGGGATGAAAAACACAGAGTCAATAAGGTTGTCAAAACTTCAATCACAAGGTAATTTATGTATTCAATCAATTAGAATAGCTCTGTCCAACAATAGAGTATTGATGTGTCTAACCATTCTATTATGTTTAGAGTTCTATTATGGGATGTATAGGGGAAGGATTTAGGAAGGAGAGATCCTTGTGGAAGGGGACCTTCTTTGTGGTTTTGTGGTGGATATTTCTAGAGAGACACTGAAGGATAGTTGAGGACCGTTACACATCATTTTAGGAGTTGTGGGAGAGGGTAACATTCGTGGTCTCCTTATCAGCGAAAGCTCAAGAGAAGTATTCCAATCTTGCAATTACTGAGGTTCATTGGAATTGGGACACAATTCTTTTGCACCCCTAGATGGTTTTGGGTTCGTGTTCTACTATAAATGATGTCTTGTTCATAATTCTTTGTGGAGGATTACTTATTCTCAATATTTGTATTCTTTTCCCTCTTATTCAATAATACTTCTTTTTCTGTCAAAAAAAGAATATATAATTAGGAAAATAGTTGGCAAAGTATGATCGTAATCAAAGAACCTGTAATCAGTTGACATTATGAAGCCAAAGAACATAGTTTTAAGTGGGAAAACACAAAAATACCAAGAAACCATTGGCTTTGTCCAGAAGATCAGCCACTCCCAGTATTGGTTGATATTGCCAATGTTGTTTTCATTAGAGGGTGTAGGCTACTTTCCTTACCAATCTACAGCTCCAAATACCACAGGAATCAACAGCACTTGACGCCAAACTCCTGAAACGCATCTGCCTTGTGCAGAACTCCACATTACAAACACTTCGACAATATCTAACACCAGATCCAAAACCGACATCGCGGAATGAAGCTGTTTCCTGAATCCCGACCTCAAATTATTTTGGGAGACCACTGCATAGAACATTAAGTTCATGACCTCTTAATGAGGTTGTTCAATTCTACCAATTTACAAAAATTTAACCTTTCTTGTGTGACTGCTTTGCTGCACGGCCTCTAGACCAGTTCTTGTCTGTCCTTAAGTTTTTAACCTTTTTTTCCCCCATATTTTGAGGTCATTATGGTAATATTTCCGCTCCATACTAACGTTTTGAACAAAATTTGACTTAAATTCTTATTCTTGCTTTCAATAAAATTTACTTGATTTAAGTGTTTATTCTTGGTTTTGATAAAAGATATTTGATCTTAGTATATGTTAAGCCTTCTAATTGTCTTGATGGAAGAGAGAATGAATGTAATGTTGGTAATATTATAGCGTCCTTCAACAAAGGACTTGAATGATGGCTTATGGACATTGATTATATTCTTACAAAATTCTCATTCAACTGATGAATGCTTGATAGCATTGCATAATGTCTTGAGTATCACTTAACATACCTTTGAGCTATACTATTTAGTTTGGAACAGAAAATGATGAAGTTCATTAGCTTTTTTTTAAAAATAAAAAGTGTGTAATATTGTATTAACAGGGTACCATAACAGAGGTACCACTCATGTACAAAAGATTTACAAAAGAGTTAAAAGTATTTATGATATTTTCAAATTTTACATCACTGATAATGTCATTATCTAACAAGATGGTTTCAAAAGAATGCATCCATCTATCTCTAATACTATAAGAACTACTAACTTTACGCTCAAAAGCTCTTGAATTCCGGTCTTTCCAAAAAACCTAGAAAATAGTTAATGAGATAATGTTTATAATGTTTCTTTTTACAGATAACCCATCCCAAGCTCAAATTTCCTTGCAGATTGAGCCCACCATGGCCCAAGATCCCCAACAAGTCATAAATCATGCACCAAAGATCATGAGTCATAGGAAATCGAAACAACAGATGATTGCAGGACTCCTTAGCCTTCGGACACATGTAACACCCGTTCACGAGAATCTGTCCTCTATATATAAGTTTATCAATTGTACGAATCTTCTCCCAACAAGCTTTCCAAGTGAAAAAAGCGACTCTCGTAAGGACCTTAGTTTTCTAGATTTGCTTATAAGGAAAATTCCGACAAACCACCCGTTCACGAGAATCTGTCCTCTAGATATAAGTTTATCAATTGTACGAATCTTCTCCCAACAGGCTTTCCAAGTGAAAAAAGCGACTCTCGGAGGGACCTTAGTTTTCTAGATTTGCTTATAAGGAAAATTCCGACAAACCACAATAGAATCCGTTGTTAAGAAATTGTAGTAAAATCTAACTGAAAATCTCTCAGACTTTTCTAATTTCCAAACAAATTTTTCGGTAGTTAGTGAGATTTGTTGTGATGATAAAATTTTAAGAATTTCCGCATAATCACTAATTTCCTAGTCATTTAAGTTTCTTACTACATTTATGAACTAATTTATGTTGCCATTCGAACGTTGGTAAGCTTCTTCAATAAGCCTATTCCTGAGTTGAGCGATAATGAAAATTCTCGGAAAACAATTTTTGAGGCTACCTCCTTCAACTACTCATTAGTCCAAAATTTGATCTTATTATCTTTAACCAGTTTATATTTTGAGTAAAGGCTGAAAACAATTGATAGAGAAAAAAAAGTAAGAGAAAACTGTTTCTCTTAATTTCTGATTATGATATATTACATATATATAGGGAAAAAGAAAACATAAAATTAGACTAATAATAAATCCCATGGAATCTGGGATTTATTTAAGATTTTATGGAATTTATTCAAATCCGATAAAATTTGGAATTTATTTCAAACTTTATTGAATTTATTCAAATTTCATGAAGTCTGGGATTTATTTCAATTTTTATTTCTTGTAACAAATCATAACTTTGCCAAGTTATCTCTATCGACACTCTTTCTCAAGTTGGTGCAAAGATGTTTATCATGTCCAACTTGCTCACTTTATCTTCGAATGGTTGACTCAAAAGTCACTTGGTTAATGTCTACAATCTGTTGTATAGTAGGTACAAAAGGAGTACATAATATCACTTTTTCAAGTTTTTCCTTTATAAAGTGTCCATCAATTTCGACATGCTTAGTTCGATCATGTAAGATTGGATTATATGCAATATTGATCGCTGCCTTATTGTCACAGTACAACTTCATAGACAAACTTGCAAGTTTTTCAATTTCTTTTAGAACCCGTTTCAATCACAAGACTTCACATATACCTTGAGCCATTGATCTGAACTCTGCCTTAGCGCTACTCCTTGCTGCAACAATTTGTTTTTACTCCTCCAAGTAACCAAATTACCCAACACAAACGTACAATATGCTGAGCTTGACCTTCTATCAACAGTTGAGCTAGTCCAGTCAGTATTTGTATGTACTTCAATCTCTCTTTTTTCATTTTTCTTTTAAAAAAGTCCATTTCCAGGTGTACTTTTCAAATACCTTAAAATACGATACATTGCTTTTAAATGTTCTTCACAAGGAGAATGCATAAACTGATTCACTAAACTCACAGCAAAAGCAATATTAGGGCGAGTATGAGATAAGTAAATAAATTTTCCAACCAACCTTTGGTACCTCCCTTTATCCACAGGAACACCTCTAATATCATCGAGCTTGTTACTCGCTTCTAATAGTGTTTGTGCCGGTTTGCACCATCTCATTCCAGTCTCTTTTAGAAGGTCCAGAATATATTTTCGTTGTGACACCATTATTCCTCTCTTTGATCAAGCTACCTCCATTTCAAGAAAATATCTAAGCTGACCCAAGTCTTTAATTTCAAATCCTTTGGCCAGGTTGTTCTTAAGTCTTATAATCTCATCCAAGTCATCCCCAGTTAAAATCATGTCATCTACATAAACTATTAAGATAAGCAATTTTGCCTTCTACGGATTGTCTTGTGAAAAAGGTGTGATCAAATTGTCCTTGTGTATAACCTTAACCTTTAACAAAACTTGTGAATCTCTCAAACCAAGCTCTAGGTGATTGTTTGAGGCCATAAAGAGTCTTCTTCAGTTTACATACCTTGGTTCCAAAGCTTTCTGTGAATCTAGGTGGAGGTTCCATGTAAACTTTCTCTTCCAAGCCTCCATTTAAGAATGCATTTTTTACATCAAGTTGACTCAGACGCCAATCAAAGTTTGCAGCCATAAATAAAAGTACTCTCACTGTGTTTAACTTTGCCAGTGGAGAGAATGTCTCTTAGTAGTCTACTCCAAATGTTTGGTTAAACCTTTTGCTACGAGACGAGCTTTGTACCTCTCTAAAGATCCATCCGAGTTGTATTTAACTGTGAATTCCCATTTACAGTTATGGCTGTTTTGTAATTTATGATCGAGTCCTATAGCTTTGATACCATGAAAAAAATTGATAGAGAAAGAAAAGTAGGAGAAAGATAATATATGGGAAAATTGGCCATTGTGCTTTTGATTAAGATATATCTATCACCTTTTAAAAGGAAGTTACACTTCCACCCAACGAGTCTCTTTTCAAATAATTTAGTATCGGTTCCCAGGAGGCAATGTTTTTATACTTAGCACCCAAAGGGATTCCCAAGTACTTTACGGGGAACTTGATCGCTTTACATCGTAACACCCTAGTAAGCAGATTTGCATCCCCATTCCTACCAATCTTGACAATTTTAGAGTTATCAAAATTAATTTTTAAATCGGAAACAACCTTCAAAGGAAATGGAATTATGCAATGACCAAACATTGCTTATGCAATTACCAGTACTTGAAATCAGAAACAACCTATATTACTCGTCAAATACCAGTCCAAACATTGCTTATGCAATTAGTGTAGTAAGTTAGTTCATGCACAAGTATAAAGAAGTGCACCTACAAGCAGTTTGCAAAATATTCCATTACTTGAAAGGTATTCTGGGAAATGGAATTATGTTCAAAAGAAATAATAAGTTGCTTCTTCAACTATAGGAGATCTACTTCTAGATATTGTACCTTCTTTGATGGAATTTAGTGAATTGGAGAAATAAGAAACAAAATGTGGTAGCCTGGTCTAGTATAGAATAAGAGCTTAGAGATATGATCCAAGGGGTGTGTGAGCTCTTATAATTGAAGATGATTTTAGAAGATTTGAAAATTCAATAAGATGGACGTATGAGACTCTACCACAACAATATATATAAAATGATAGAACTAAGCACCTTGAAGTAAATAGGCACTTCATCAAGGAAAAGTTGGATAGTGGATTGATTTGTACTGCATCTTTGCCGACCACTTCACAACTTGCTCTTGTTTTGAATATAAGATTGAGTAATCCTGTATTTCAGATAATTATTGCTGAGTTGGGAGTGAATAATATCTATTCATCATCTTGAGGAGGAGCGTTAAGAAGTGCAAATTAGAGCTTCATTAAGTTAAATAGCAAATTGGTAATATACCATGAACCTTTGTAATATTCTCAAGTAAATAGTTTCACGTGCCTAGGATAAGTGAAGATGATGTTTAAAGATAAAATTTCTCTAGGATTCCATTCACTTCCACCTTTCTTCCATCTCCCTCTCTTAATAAATGATCACTTGCTCTTCCTTCTCTTGGTAAACTTGAACTCTACCCTATCCAACCCTTTTTCTATATTGACCGTGTTTTGGTTGGCTTAGTTTTAATGTAATGTGCTCAAAACACATTTTGGTTAAACTAATAGTCAACATGTAATGTAAACTTGAACTCTGCCCTATCCAACCCTTTTTCTCTATTGACGGTGTTTTGGTTGGCTTAGTTTTAATGTAATGTGCTCAAAACACATTTTGGTTAAAATAACAGTCAACATATATTTTAGAATGCTTAAAGATAAGAAAATTTACCAACTTTTAGCCAACAAAAAAAAGCCTTATTCATAATATTTCAAGCAAATTTGGAAGGTGAATGCCCTTCCAAAGATAGCTTTCTTCACTTGGGAAGCTGCTTGCAGGTGCATATTAACTCTAGCCCCTCCAAGGAATATTTCAAGCAAATTTGGAAGGTGAATGCCCTTCCAAAGATAGCTTTCTTCACTTGGGAAGCTGCTTGCAGGTGCATATTAACTCTAGCCCCTCCAAGGGCTTAGGTTAAATGGTGTTGTCTGTGCAAGAGTTTGGGGGAGACTTATGACCATATTCTGCTTCGATGCCCCATTGATACAGGCTATGGTCTATGGCTTTTGGGATCTTGGGGTATGGTTGAGTTTTGGCTGGCTCTATTAAGGAAGAGGTGTGGGCTTGGAAGGATATTACTAGTAGGAAGAAACAATTGGAGCTTATTCCATTGACCTTTTTTTGGGTTGTATGGAAGGAGGGAAATAGGAAGGTCTTCGAGGAAGTGGAGGAGGGGCTTGATAAAAATAAAAAGAGATGGTCTCAAACCTTTAGTGTTTTGATTTTGAACCAACCCATGTATTATAGGGAAAATCTTGGGGAACTAATTGATGTGCTAATAGAATTGTAAATACTTATGTACATGGGTTACATCCCTTTGGTGCATGTAAATAATACTTATCTTTTTTATTTCAAAAAAAAATTATTACTGATATTATTAATGATAATTTATTTAATACATTAAAATTCTAATAAAATTACTCATTTTATACTTTTTAAATTTTAGTTTAGTTACTACATTTATTAAGTAATAATATTAGCTCGGAGAAAATGTTAATATTATCTATTGTTAAACATATTAATTCAAGGGGCCTATGGTTATTTCTCTACATATACTATTCTGTTCAAAACATTTCTCACTTTCCTACTCATTATTTCCCAAACAATAGATAAGATAGCATGAGCAAGTTACATAATTTATACTACCTTACTCAACTTTATTCTACCCAAAATGAGTAACATACATACTGCTGAACATAGCCCAAGGATGTCCCAAGATTTTGTTTTGCCCATCTGCGGATCTCCAAGAGACGTAAGATTAAATTGCATGATGTTTGTTAATGATTACTCCCACACTTAATGGCTCAGATAGTTCCTTGGTGCAATTCTTCCTGCTTATTGGTAGATATCATACTACTGTTTATCAGAATAGAAGCATGTGATATCACTCACTTCTTCAGCTTTTAGGAAAAATTTATATCCATATGTTCTTGAAGAATATCTGTCATGATTATTTCTTTAGATATCTGTAGCAGTTATTCTCACTTGCAACTAGCTTATGATGATACTCTGCTTAAAGATGCTTATCATTGCCATGGTTCTTTGGTGTTTCTCTTTTGGCAGTAAATGTTGCAGTTTCCAGCAGTCATGTGAAGAAAATAGCTCTGATCTGCCGTGCCTTATATTCTGTTGGCATGATACAAGTGACATTCACTTGGAAAGGACTTCTTATGTCCTTGCCAACATGATTTACCCTGTTTTGTTGGAAACAGTCATCAAAGGTACTTCCATGTCTGCTGTTTCGCATATTGGATTGCTAGCTTCTAGCTTGCATGAATTTTTCTATTGCCCGAGTTGGATTCTAGTGCTGACTACATTCATGGTCAATGTCAGATTGAAGTGCGCAATCTGTCTTTTAAAGTTCCTGTTTGATTATGTTTTTCCTTTTTTTTTTGGGACGGACCTGTTTGATTCTCTTGGTTGTCAATATAATGACTTGTATGTTTATCTATCAATAAAAATTGAAGGTTGGGCCTTTGCTAGTTAAATGGCTTCATATATCAGCTTGCTCGTTTTGCTCTCTTAGTCTCATGTTGCTGCATTAGGTTCATGTGTAGTACTGTGAAGGGTGAGAAATTGTTGGCTTCTTTTTTAATGTTCTTGCACGATGATATATCTAATCCATCGAGTCTTGAAATATGAATTGAGCCTAATTGGAGGGTCTATCTGATCAAAATTGGGTTTTACAATGAACGGTTTCTTCTTTAAGCCTCACTATGACAGGGTTCATTAATGGTTTTTGGATAAGTTTATGGATAGGGAGAGATAATGTGAGAGATGAGGAAGGTGAATCCAGTTTTTATCCTTTTGCTAGATTTTAGCCATTAACAATGGGCAGCTAAAACTTGGTTTAGAGGTCAGAAAGGTGTTAAATTCATATGTCCTCGTCAAGTATATTTGGCATGACTTGTTTCTGTTTATCCTATCTTGTTTAGCCAATTTCTTCTTATATTTCTTAATCTTGATCTCCAATTTCCTGTAACATACTTTATTCTTATGTTTTCACATGAATTTTCTCTATTTCTAAAATATTTGCAGGATAAGTTAATTTTTTTTAAAAAAAAAACAAAACAAAAAGATTATTAATGACAGTACCAAGGGGATGTCATCCTGTAGCACAAAATATTTACATATTTATCAAAGTCAATAAGGTCCGTAAATTTTTCGTAGAGGTAGTTTAACCGCTACTTGTCTTCTTTCAATTAGTATAAGAGTCCAAACTATCTTCACCTTCCACTATTCATACATTACTTAATATATATACACACACAGATTTTCCTGCCACATCCAACCAAAAATAATTGTCTTGAAGAAAAGAACCTAAATTTTCATATTGTGTCCTCTTGTTTTACCAAAAAATCCATTTTTAAACGAAATCCTAATTTTGTTCCTTCCTTTCCTTACAAAGAAAAACTAAAATCCAAAAGTTAGAAGAGGCAGACCAACAACCTACCATCAGCCTCAGCACATATTGTTGGCAACCGCTGAGTGGACAACATTGCACTATAGTCATGAGTAGATAGTTCCTAGCAGTCTCTTAGCAAATTTTAACTGTTGACTCTGTTGGAAAACCTCTCACTTGCTGGTGGAAGGGAGAAGGACTTCTACTTCCTGGATCTCTGTCTCCCCATTTATCATAGGTGAAACCAATCAATGAGATAGAACCACCCTGATGAGACAAACTTTAAGTGGAAAAACTGATCCTTGTTGGTGAACAACGAAGGACACTTGTACCTTCTGCTTGCACCCTGTGATAGGAATTTTGTCGTTGACTGGTTCACACAGATTGTCCAGTTTGATTGACTACTATATTTCAGATTCTTGTAGGCTTGTTTTTGACTAGTTCAGACTAGTTCCTAAGATTGTATAGTGTGTTCCCCTCATTTTCCTGGGTATTTTGGTTACAATTTTTTTAAAGTTCATCATATAATCCACAGTTAATTCATATTTAATATCAATGTTTTGAAGATGCTGTCATGCTACAAATTCTCTCAGGAGTTGTTCTGAATTAGATATTGTATATGAAACAAAACTATTTCAGAAGTTAGGAAAGCATGCGATGTTTTTGCAAGAATTAAATATTGTGCCTGGTTCTAGTATTAATATTTCCCTTATGTTGAAAAATGAAAAACTTGAGGTTCGTTTCAAACCGCCAGTTTCAACTCAATGAAGTATTTGCTCTTATTGAAGTCATTTATATTCATGCTTATGATGTTGAGCAACTCATTCCTTTAATCTTTTTCCACCTCGTGCTCTTATTGAAGTGGTTCTTGTTGATGATGGTTATATTAAGAAAATTTCTTGGTATGGTTTGGTTTTACCTTGTTGGTTTTATGGTCCCAAGGATCTATAATTTTTGTTGACTTTCAAATTTTCTATGGAGCTTATCAAAAGCCTTGACTTCTTGAAGATTGTGAAGAGCATGGTCGTGCCTTTCCTATCTTGATTCTTTGCAACTTCAAAACTTAGGTTGAGTTTTCACCAAGTGATAGAATGATGCAGAATAAGATCTTACTTTTGGAATGAAATTTTTTGTTTTTTTATAATTATTATTATTTTATATTTTAAAGCTATTTAGATTTTGTTAGACATTGTAGTATTTTAGTTTTCTTTTAGGTAAATTTAAATATTAGAGAAACTTAAATATTATAGTACATATTTAAATATCATAGGGATTAGAATCATTTGAATTTTCTGTTTTATACTTTTCCTTATTAGTTGTAACTAATATCTATACAAAGGTTAGTAACTATCAACAAATAGAGTAGACGATGATAAATTAAAAATTTCTTTGTTGCAATCTTATTCCTTGTATCCATTTTTCTTATTATTATTCTGTCTAACCTATCTCGTCCAGTTGATTTCTCCTTGCAAGGGATTTGCTTTGTCTGTGGTATGAGAGGTTTTTAGAAAGCATTTGGTTAGCTGGTATAAATGGTATAAGTTTAAGAAGGATGGTAGACTTTGGTATTGGGAATCCTGTCTCCAAAACAGCTTGCTGTTTTGACTAAATGGTCATTGCGCCCTTTTCTTTTTTGAAATAAAGTCATGGCACTTACCTTCATAACTTTATTCTTTGTGGTGGGACTAGATATCCAGAGGTGTGGAAAGAGTAGACTGCAATGAAGCAGTTGAGATACTAAATGTAGGTCAAATGCTGCTTACAGAATGTTAAATTGATTTTTCAGATTTACAGTTCATTTTTGTTCTTTTTAATATGTTGGGTTGGGGATGATTCAGTTTCCTTTTTGAGAGGATCTTTGGATGGAGGAGTCTCTCTATGGGCTTCTTTAGATATTTTTCTCCTAGTTCTTCTTTCATGACTCATATGGATGGCCAATTGTCTTTCAATCTCTTCTTCATGAATCTCAAGGACCCTGGAAACACTCGAATGTTTGGAAACCTTTCAAGCTTTATATTTTAGTAATTGATTTTTTATAAAAGAATATATTTTAGTAATTGATATTCGACTCTTGCTTTTAATCTTTCAAGTTCTTTTAGTTGTAAATCCTTTTTTGGACTTTGACATCATCAATCTGTTTCCAAATTATTGCTTTATCCCACTGGTTAGAGAGGCTTTGGATCACACCCTTGGAGATTAATATGAATTTTTGTTCCAGGTCCGGAGACCTTAGAAAGCCTTATCCTCTAATATCTCTTTGATGTGCTTTTGAAGTTTAGAGAGGATTAACCACTTTTTTTTTTTATCATTTTCATGCAGTGTGGGAAGTTTTTGGCCTTCACATTTTTTTTTCCATATTTAGAGGTACTTATGGCTGTTCCATGACATGGAAGATTTCATTGGTCTTTCATTATTTTTTAAAGATTAGGCATTTTAAAAGGGGAAACTTTTCGTTTTATTACTTTGAAAGTAGTTGCTTCAACTTTAGTAATTCGAATTTTTAATTTTCCTTTTTGTTTCTCATCCAAGAAATGATATCTTCTGCAAATCCTACTATTCTAACATGATATTGGATAATTGCTATTGCTCAAACAAGCATGAGAGCTACGGTTGCATATCCATTCGTAGGACAAATGAGATATGTAATTATTGTAGGTGATTATCAGAGACTTAAATGGTGGATATGGAAGCATGATAACTCATACACTTCTCGTATCTCTTTGAACCTTGGACCTATCGTGTCAAATCTATGTTTGTAGCCGGGCAACCGCTTGGATTTCACACTTCCTGACCGCTATTTGCACTAACTTACCACTTATTAACGTGGTGGTGTGTGGAAC